TAGCTCAGCCTAGCAGGCTTGCAAACAAGGACATCTGTATAACAATAAAAGGAACGAGGGCTGGTTAGAGGCATGATTGATTTCAGGTCTGGGAAAGGGAAAATATGCAATAAGCCTAGAGTATCTTGTCATTCAAATAGATAGATACATGATATAGATAAGTAGAGAGATAGATAGATAGATAGATAGATAGATAGATAGATAGATAGGAAGCAGCCAACCTAAAATAGCTCTTAATAACAAAAGCCCAAACAATTTGAGGAACACAATAAAATAGTGTTGAATTATAACCCAAAGAATAAGTAAAGATCTATGAGTTTATACTAATATTTTAAAAATGGAAAAATAAAGAAATGCGGGGGAGGGACAATTCTTCCTTTCTTCTGCAATAATTGTAGAAGCAAGAGAGGAAAAGAAAATTACTATTAACTTGCCAGTGTCATAACTGCTGCAGGTAAAATCTGTTGATGAATGCTAGAATGAGTGTGTGGAAGTGAAAGGAAAAACAGGTAATTTGCACTGTCCTTAGAGTAACTTGCCTCCTATTTCTCTAAATTGTGAAGGGGAAATGGTAACATTATGATAGAGAAGCCTGTCAAAGATCACTTGAGCAAGCAGATCAAGGTGAACATTACCAGTAGCATGCCCCTCACATGAATCTGTGTGATTATTTACCCCAAATACCTATCTTCAGTGTAACATGAGAAGAGAGCAGACAAACCAAATTTTGAGGGACACTCTACATGCTGGCCAGTATTCTTTTAAAATGGCCAGATCATGAAAAATAAGGTAAAAACCAAGGAACCATCATAAATTAGGGACCCCAAGGAGACACCCAAATGCAATGTGGGATGTCAGACTATATCCTGGAAAAGAAAAAGAATTTTAGTAGAAAACTGGGAAGTCTGCATAAAGTCTATTCTTTGTCTTTCTTTTTTTCTTGCTTGCTTGCTTTCTTTCTTGCTTGCTTTCTTGCTTTTTTTCTTTACAAATATGTGTGTAAAGAATTTTATCAAAAATCTTTCAGATTCTTTCCCTTTGCTTTTATTGTTTTTGTGTTCGTTTGTTTATGTCTGTGTGTTTGTTAATGTTTTTATTCTTTTATCTTTAAAATAAAAAAAATTCTTTCAGAATATGTGATGAGACCCAAAGCAATACTTTATCATAAAAATAATACATTTGTATAACTAAATTTAGTAATTAAAAACTGTTAGTAGTGTAGGTATGGAGAATTGGAGTAGCATTTGCCTTTTTGCACAGGTGTATGTGACAGATGATGGAGAAAGAGTCAGGGCCTGGGATAGGGGACCTATGAGCTCCTTAAAGGCAGACAGGAAGTAACCAATTCTATATTATAGGCACTCGAAGGCTGTTACTCTTATTTTAACCTATGGCAACCCTACAGGGGCTGGGAGTAGAGTATAATTCTGATCTGCAGATGAGGAAACTGAGACTGAGTAAGCGTTTTATCCACAGCAGCTACAATTGAATGCCTGCTATAGGTAAATCTTTAAACATTCTATCATAGAATCTTCACACAATGAGGGAGGAATAATTTTTGTTCTCATTTTAAAGACAAGGAGGCTGATGTACAGAGAGGGAGGAAGATGGCCAAGGCCAGACCTAAGGGTAGCTGCCCTCCTAACAGGGCATCTTCCCCTTCTACCTATTCCCCACCCCACACAAGGCCCAAACTCACCAATGCGTTCACTAGAAACCTTACATTGAAACATCAGGGCTTCAAACCATTCCACAGCCTCTGGACAGCATTCTCTTGGAAGGGGACAGAGAAAGACAGAGAGTAAGAAAGAGAGGAGAAAGAGGAAGAGGAGCGAGAGGATAAGGATATCCAGAAAGAGGGTGGCAATCTTTGAAGGCAAATTTGAATAGCTGAATGCTGAGTCTATGTGCCAAGGGACACATTGTTTCTGTAAAAAGGACAGAATGGGATAAACACCCCATTGTGTAAGACTGACTCTAATCTATGGAAAACAGCATTGACGTTGCCATAGAAACCACCCCTTCTCTTTGAAACTGTTCAGGAGCACTGTTCTTTAAAGAGATGGCATTGTGTGCTTTTTGGAAAAATTGCTGGGAATCTATTTCTTCTTCCATTTGACTACCCAGTTGGATCAGATCACACTGCGGAAGGGGAGGGGAGAAAAATCAATCCAAAACAGTTCCAACAAGTGGTCTTTGAATTTCCTAGAAAAATGTGTGTCTCCTCCTAAATGTCTTCTGATCTTATTGACTGCTGAGATCAGGCACCGTGATGGACCCAGGTCGCCATGATTGCTTTTCCCCAGTATGCAGCAATTGGCCCTTCATTCATTTTTACCCCACTCCCACCTCCACCCTATCCTAGCTGGGATGACGAGCCCCAGAGCAGCAGAAGCAATTTCATTTTGTGTTTCATCTTTGCATTCATCACTGGTAAAGGGGAGATATCCCACATCCCTCATGAAGAGAACTCCCTCATGGAGTTCCCTTCTCCACACCTGTATGATACCCTTCCCATTTGCCTGGAGGACAGCATTATGATGTCTTTCCTCCTGCCTTCATTCTTCCTATAAAAATATTACCTGTCCTACAAGGCCCAGTTCAAAGGCCAGTTCAGCCCTGGTAGACAACCACACTAACATGCCCTCCTCTCCTAGAATTTCCAGTAACAATGAGACCCTTGGCTCCAAAACATCTCCCACACAGGCTTGGTTCTATTTTATCTGGGAGCCCTTCCAGATCAGCTCCCACTGATGTTGGAAAGATTAAAAAGTGTGCAAAAGCCACAAACACAGTTGTTCCACTAACCAACGTGCTGTTTGTATGATAATTCCCTGGCTACCCTGGCTCCCTTGTGGACCAGAAGTAGCTGTGAAATTCCACCTTTCAAAATTCAGAGGAGCTTTCTCCTCACCAAACTTCCTTTGGTTAAATTCTAGATGATCTGCCTCTCCTTGGATATCTATGTGAGGAATTAGGCATCCTCCTTTATTCTGTTGTGAATATGATGTGAATTATAAATCTGTCAGCAATAGTATATGACTTCAGGGTCTCTTCTGAGACTAGAAATAGCTGTCACAATCTCCTTACCCTTCCATCCTCCTTTGTTTCTGGCTATGCTCCCATAGCCTATTTGTTGCTGAGTAATGGTAGCTTTGGCTCATTGTTTATAGAGTGGGAAATCCACTTATGACAGAATATTTGCACATGTATTCATTAAGTCTTTAGCTGACATTGAGGAACTAAAAATACATTGGGTGTTTATGTGTTGGCTGTATGGGTCAGTTGGCCCTTGTGATAGAGATGCCAGCCCTGACCTCTGCCTGGACCTCTCCAACTCAATTCACCTTATCATGCCCTAAAGATAGACTGGATGCCTAAGTCCACATGAGTGTGCATAAGGCTGTCTGATCCCTGGTGCTCAGCAGCCCTTGTGGCCCCAAAGAGCAAGAGCTCTCCTGTCTTCTTTTTCCCCACTACCCCCATGCTCAGATGCACGCCCCAGGACAGCAATCAGCTTAGAGCATCTATTTGCAGCTTAACTCAGAGTCAATCCACACCACTTCCTCAAGTGGCCTGACATCTAAGGTAGAGAAAACGGTCACAAACTATGAACTTCAGAGCAAAACACAGACTGTGTGTCATAGTGATTATGACACTGGTACCAAAATACACGACTTAGAATCACAGCTTTGCCATGCACTAACCAAATGACCTTAGGCAAGCTGCTTTACTGTTCTGTGTCTCCATTTCTTCATCTAGGGATTATAGTGATGATGCTCATGGTGATGGTGCTAAAGATGGGGGTAGTCATCTCCTAGAATTTGTGGGTGGCTCTGTGAACACAAAACACTCAGTACTTATTGCAGAACATGGGGTATTTAGGTGTTTGCTATTTTGGCATTAACCATTGCAACTGAATTCTGGCTGAGAATAAGTGAGTTTACTTTCATAATAACTGCAAACTGACTTTCTAAGGGATTGACTATAACTTTCACAGCATTGCTTGAGGTCCTACACACAAGTGGTTAAGGGAAGTAAAAGCATCACTCAAACCCAGCTTTAGATCCCAGCTCTCCTGCTACCGCCCTCAAGCAGTCTCCTCATACTGCTGAGCCACAGTCTCTTCACCTGTGTAAGGGGGTCAATAACTCCTACATGCTCAGGTCATCCTATCTTTAAACAAGCTAGTTATGCAGAGGGTCCCACTCATGTTTATTATCTTCTTCCTCAGGCTACTGGCAAGCCACCAGGTGCATGATGTCAATAGTATCATGAGACTCTCCTTTTGCCACTGTCTATTTTATAGTCAGTTTTGTCTGCAGACTTCAGAGTAGTGATTATGTGCTATGGTTTGAATGATTTACCCGAAGAGCATCTATTAGAAGTTTAATCCCCAATGCAACTGTATTGAGAGGTGGGGCCTAATGAGAAGTGTTTAGGTCATGAGTATCCACCCATGTGAGTGGATGAATGCTCACTGTAAGAGGGCTTGAAGCTGTCAGTTGGCTCTCTTGCTCTCTCTCACCTTCTCTTTGCCCTTCTGCCTTGGGATGATGGTTCAAGAAGGCCTTCACAGGGTGCTGGCTCCATGATCATGCACTTCCCAGCTTCCAGAACTGGGAGAAACAAATTTCTTTTCTTCATAAGGAACCCAGGCTATATTCTGTTACAACACAAAATAGAGTAAAGAACTCTGTTTCCTCTAGTGCTGTATGCCCCATGCCCAGCTCAGCCTGGCCCTCAGAAGCTGACCAGCAGAGGCTCAGAGAATGAAGGACAGTGGACTGCAAGCAAGGTGGCCATGTGCATTTCTTTGTCCATGCGTAGGATCTCAGCATCATGTCAAGCCCCAGCTACCTGAAGATGAAAGTCCTCCATGTCACCCTGCCTCACAGGCCACTCTATCCCCAAGGCTCACCCACCCATCAAGGCCCCTACCCCCAGCGTCTTTCTGGTTATTTTACTGAGCAAAAGATAAAGAAAGTTGCAAGTGAAGGTCAAGATTCTCAGACACATCTATCTTTATTTGTTTTCTGTCAGAAAATTTCAAGAATTACACCAAAAAATACTTCAGCCTCTGCTACCTACTGACAAAAATACACCACAAAATTATAAAGCGTTCAGCGGTTTTGCTAGGGACAGCTTGTTATTCCGCTTCAGATGACAAGTGAATTACAGGTGACTCAAGGTGATGGGCGGATGGGGAAGGAGAAAGGAAAAATCAGATGAGCGCGTTTGGCAGGATAGTTTGAGCTATACTAGTCTTATTTTCCAGCTGTTGAGTATAATGATTTCGGCAACATAGCAAGCCACAAAAAATCCCTTTTAAATGGCCTATTGGAGACTCATGGGGAAACTGTAACACATTTCAAATTGCCAATTCTCCTAGCCAGTTCTGGCCCTGTTGGGCCTGGAGCCAACACCTACACAGAATGGGCCTCCCTGAAACACTGTGAGAAAGGCAAGGACCGCCCTATATGCTTCCATGGAGCAAGAGGCCTGGTCAATGCCAGATGTTGCCTCCTTGTAAGAAGCTTCTAGAACTTGATTGGGGAATGTGGACCAATATCCCCTGTCAATACAGTACAGTGAACAAAAGTCACCTTTCCCGGTTTCTTCCAGAAATGAGTTGGGATTATTGCAGCCTCAATCTTAAAGTCTCTTCCTGACTACCACTTGAGGTTCCTGATTACAATCCAATTGTTGCTATGGCAGTTAGCATTCTGGGAAACCACAAACAGATAAAAAATTTTAAAATTGTGTGTCTGTGCTTCTAGTTTGGCCAAGGATCACATCCCTGCCTTGTGCCTTCTTTTTTCTTGAAGCCTCACCCCCATTTTCTCCCTCTCTACCCTTGCTGTCTCATAAACAAGTGCAATATCCAGGGATAGATCTAGAAAAAAAAAGCAACAAAGAAAATCTGCCCACATCCCAGTGCTTGCTTAGGCAAAACACACTGCCACAGGGTGAGCATTCAGAGCCCAGGTCATAGGGGTTGGCCTAGGCCATGTGGGTCTGCCCAAGCCCTAGCGTGAACACCCAACTAAAGTCTGTGCTCATCCTGCCGGTGCACCAGTGGTCGGTACGTTTTATTCTGGGCTGTGTGCATCCTGGGATTAGAAATGCCAAAGTCAATTCTTTCTGACTCAACCATTGCTAACCTCCAGGGCTCCTATCCTGCAGGCCAGAGGCTCAGTCAATGCCACTCACATATTCCAAAGCCCACAGTGAAGCTACAGTTCCTTGTTTCAGAAGCCCAGTCTGTGCTCTTTACTGCTCTCCAACGTCTTCCAGGTGAAGCCTGTTTCATGCTTTCTATTTATTTCTTTGTGTCTCTCCTTTTCTGCTTTTAAATTTTCCTAACAAAGAATAAGCAGTGGCTTTGAAAATATCTTACATGGGAACAATCAACACGAAACATGCCTTTGTACATGAGCCTGACTTAGGGACGAATCAACAATACCAAAGGACAAAAAGAAATATCGATTCAGACAACTCCAGTGCACAATATTTTCGGAGAGTGCCACCCCCGCCCTCCCCTGCCCCGCCCCCACCCCCACATCCCAGGAGTACAGTGTTGTCTTGTAACTCAAGCTTGGCTTAGCCAATGGGGGAGGCCCCCTCCCTACTACCACCACCCCCAGTCTGGCTGGGGTAGGCCTCTAATGGCCCTGGGTCTTGGGCGGCTTGGGCTCATGGATGACAGCAGCTGCCGACAGCCACGGCCCGATGGCCCGGGCAGTGCTCTGCTTGGCCACACTGTAGTGGCTGATGACTGTGTAGAAGCGGCTTCTGGAGTTGGGGTCCTGGGATGAGTAGTAAGCATCCAGGGAGGCCGGGATGCAGCGCTTGTGCTGGGGAAGAAATAGACAGTGTCAGGACTAGTTTGGTGGGCAGCTTCCAACCCACCTTGAGACATATTATTCTACCAATAACCACAGGTTCAATCAGGCTCTCAGACACATGGCAAGTGGTAAGACCCCACCTGGGCCTGGCACACAGCAGACAGCCCAACATCATCATCATCACCACCATCATCAGAGCTACCCCTGAGAAGAAGCCAGAAGAAATGAACTTGATGTTGGCAATGATTCAAGGCCAACATCATCTGCTTATTGAACATTGCACTGTAGGAGACATCATTGGTGTTTTTAACCAGATCTCCTTATCTAGTCCCCAATTACTTGGGGGATCACAGCTCTTTATGTCCTTGACTTTAGACTTCTATCTCTTTTTTATATCAAATATCTTGGTTCCCAACAATTTTAATATAATCATGCATTTGCACTCCCCTACAATTTGTGTCCTACAAAAATAACACAAATATTACTACTCAGAGTTAGATTACTAAAGGAATGTTGATATTTATCTACAGCAATCTGTGTCTTTAAGATATGGGTAGTCCAGGATTTGACTTGCTAGCTTTTTACTTAATGATGACATGAAACAATACCTATACGACCATTCTACTTTTCACTTTCAATGTACTAGCCATTAAACTCCATCACAAATCCACATTTTACTCTAAAGTAAGATTTGTAAAACATGGTTTCATCCCAATGAAGGATACTGTAAGTATTCTGAGCACATTCAAGATAGGCTGAGCTAAGCTATGGTTTGGGTAGGTTGGCTAGAGTAAATGCATTTTAACGGGATGTTTTCAACTTATGATAGGTTTATCAGGCTACACTCCGATTGTAAGTTGAGGACCATCTGTACTTAAATGGGAAACTGAATTGAAATTTTCCATTTGCACCATGACTCAGCTAAGTTATGATGTTTGGTGGGTTAGATATACTAAATGCATTTTCAACTTATGATATTTCAACTTACAATGGATGATTTTCAATTTAATTTGAAATTCTTTTATCTTATTTGTAAATGCATGTCCTCAACTTGATATAGAGCAAACTTTCTGTTTATATTTTTTACTTTTATGATTTATTTTTCATATTTATTTATTTTTAAATATGTCAACTATTTACATGTTTCTAGCATGAACATATAACAAGGTATATCCTGAGAAGCCTTGCTTCCATCTATGTCCTCTGACCCCTGTTCCCTTCCTTATCCCTGAGTAATTAATTTTACTGATTTTTAAATTTATCCCTCTAGAAATTTTTTCAGAAAAAAATATGCAAATATTTTCACTTCCCTTTTTATTCACATAAAAGTAGACCTCTGTTTACCCATATCATCTTAAAGGATATTCTATGTTTATATACCAATGTATTCTTCACTGTTAGAGATCTATAGAATTCTATTTGGGGATATGACATACTTTATTCAACTTTCTCCAATGCTAGTTGTTTCCAGTCTTTCAGAACTTGGACTTTTAGTCATCAAGAGCAAAGTCTTAGAGAATTGTGTAACAGAACCAAAGGACATATGCTTCCAAGTTTGATCCTCCACTGTGGAAATCACATATGTCTGGAAAACCTTAACTAAATGCTTTAAACTTGTATTTCCTCATATGCAAAATAGGGTAAATATAACAATATGTAATATAACAACCACTGTTAATTCCTATCATTTTGTTTTGAAACCCTGTATCATTTTGTTTTTGCTTTGTTTCATTTTTGTCTATGTTCTAGTTATTTTGTTATTTTTTATTCTCTTTAAAATAAAAAAAAACTACTCTTCAGAATGTTTGTGTGGCCTGTGACAATGCTTATAAAAATGTCTAACAAAGGGCCTGACATATAATACTTAGTAAATAATAATTATAAATATTAATGTAGGAAAGAGGAGAGTAGATCTTTTGTAGGCAGTGAGGGGATGTAGGGATGGAGAGATAAAGGGAAAGGGAAAATAAAAGGATTAAAATGTGATATCTACATGTACTAACTCCTCATGGAGAATATATTCATTATGCACCACAAATACATACTAGTAAAAATAATTTTCAAAAGACACCAGTAGATCAGATGTCCAGCTACAAGACTAGAGGAGAAACTCTCAGAAGCATAGCTCTGTGACTTTACACTTCTTCAGGGACAATGTGGAGTAAAGAAACAGCCATCTATGCAGAAAGACTAACTCAAGGCTCAGAAGCATGTCAAGCAGAGGTTTCCAAAGACGGAAAAACCAATGCCCAGTGATGGTGAGGTCCCTTCACCAGTGATGTGCAATTGGCAGCTGGGCCACCTCCAAACCTTGGGAGAAGAACTCTATGTCTACTGAGTCCTTCAGGAAAACTCTTTTCCAAACGCATGATATAGCTTTTTTTCTTTTTCATTCCTCTCTTTTATGAGAGGAATAAAACAAATTTTCATAATCAAGTAATAAAAGAATAGCAATAATTATTATACTATGTGTCATTATCTTCAGAGTACTCAGTACAAGATATAAACCAAAAAGATTCTTACAAAAAAAAGAGAAACAATAAATAAAAATATGAACTTTCTTTTCAATGAGCTAAGATCATTTAAAACACTGTGCGAAGAAGTTGCCATGCCCAAACTTCGGACACAAATGAAGGCATGACAGTCCCTCCAACTGAAGCAGACAGTAATGTGGAACTACAGTCACACTCCCCTTACCTTATAGACAAATCCCTCTGGGCAGCTGTGATCATAGGTGAAGGCTTTGTACACCACCAGGAACACAATGCAAGCAAGGAAAGCGAGGGCCAGACTGACAAGGATGGTGACCTGGAGGAAGACAAAATTGAAAATAATGCAAGTTCCTTTAACCTTTTGAACAGTTTCTTCCCATTTCACAACATCTATTGTATGTTTTAGAGCTTATTTACATTGTCAGTTTCTTACACTAGGGAGACAATACAATGTTTTTATGTGTGAGTCTGATTTATTTCATTATGAGTATGTGTTCAAGTTGCAACCATTTACTTATACAATTCTCAAGTCTCTCTTTCTTTATGGCTGAGTAGTACTCCATTGTATAAAAATGCCACATCTTTTTTAATCCATTCCTTGGTTGAGGGGCATTCAAGTTGTTTCCAAGATTTAGCTATTACAAATTGTGCTGCTATAAATATGGGTGCACATATATTGCTGTGGCATTATGTTTTCAATTCTTCTGGAAAGATACCCAAAAGGGGAATAGCTGGGTTGAATGGGACTTCTAATCTCAGTTTTTTGAGGAACTCCACATTGATTTCATCAGTGGTTGTACCAGTCTGCACTCCCACCAGCGGTGGAGAAGAGTTCCTTTTTTCCCACAACCTCACCAGCATTTGTTATTGGTTGATTTCTTGATGATGGCCATTCTTTCTGGGGTGAGATGAAATCTCAGTGTTGTTTTAACTTGCATTTCTCAAATGACTAATGATGTTGAACAATTTTTCATACATTTATTTGCCATTTGTATTTCTTCGTCTAAGAAGTGTGTATTGATCTCAGCTGCTCATTTTTGGATTGGGTCTTTGAATTTGGGGCATCTGATTTTTTTCAATTCTTTGTATGTTCTAGGGAAAAGTGGAAAAATGCAAGTCAGTTATATGATTAATGTGTCTTAGTTCATTAAAAAGTGAATTTGTCCTAATAGTCCTTAGTTCATTTGTCCTAATATCAATTGCAGACATTTTTATGCCCATATCTTGTGCCCTGAGCAAGTACTTTAAAGGTAATGACGTGTAATATATTAACTATTGTTGTTCTCCTATTATTTTGTTAAGAAATTTTGTTTTACCTTTTCTCTATAAAATGAGTAAATAAATAATTGAAAGTCATCCAGTCTCAGTGCAACCAGCTTTTAGTCCATGTGTGCAGCCTCCAAATCGTACAGCTTGTGGACGGTGTGGTCCATGGTATATTGGAAAGAGAAGAGGGCCAGGGACCCAGCGGACAGGCTCAGTATTGACTTTCTCACTTACTCTCAGTGTGATCAGCAAACCACCTGTGGTCTCTGGGCCTTAGTTTCTCCATTCTACAGGATAATCGGTTAAGTTCTTTCTTGTATGATTTCCCCCTTTGTTTTATTTTTCCTGTCAACAGTGCGTGTATGGAGGCTAATTATTAAACTATCACTTCCTTTCCTTTCTGCCTTCCATCACCACCACTGAATTCCAACCTCAGGCATCAGCTGCTGGTTTTTCCTCCATTTGAACATTGAATATACACTTGAACACATTCCTCAAAACACTGCTCTCCTCCTACTCCAGATTTGGTCCACCTGCATTCTTCTGCATGACAGGAAACATGGACTCCACCTTTGGGAGTCTTTAAGCCAAAAGCTTGAAATCTCTCTTGACTCTCCCTCTTTCTCACGTTGTATATCCAGTCTATCTGGAGAACCTGTCATCTCTGCCTTCAGAATCTGGCCGCTTCTTACCACTCAGTCATTCCCAAGATGGCCCACACTATCATCCTCTCTCAGATGCAGTATTAAATCAGTCCTTGACTAGCAGATTCTTCACACTCTGGTCTCTTTGACACACAGCAACCAGAGAAATCTTTGGAAATCTAAGTGAAGGTTCAAAAGTGTGCAGTAGTGTCCAACTTGCTCAGAGTAAAGTTTCAGAGTCTGGTTGTTATTTATCTTTAAAAATAAGTTTTTAAAAAATAAAACACAGAAGTGGAGGCTCCATCAGGATTTACCATAAAGGAACAAACAGTTGGAACAGTTGGCAGCTATTCAAATTTTGTTGTGGAATATTAATTACAGTATTTTCTAGCTGCACTGAGTGTACACAGATAAAGCCAGTCCTTTTTACCCAGAAAACAGGTGGCTTTGTTTTAGCTGCATTAACACAAAGTTAATAACTTTATTAAATATTCCTTGAGAAAAAGAAGTACCTCCGGATTTCTATTGGCTCCATCCCACTGCCTGTATACAAAATACAAAGGTGATCCCCATGATATTTGGGCATTATAAGCAGAATTCTTATCTGTGTTACTTTTAAAAGCTGATACTCCTTTGTGTTAGTTAACCTAGAAATATGACAGAATCCTTTTTACAGATAGAAGTTTCCCTCTGACTTAGAAGAAAAATAAAATCAAACTTGAGGGCCCACATCATATGTCCTTCCAAGTCCAAGGCATGTTTATAAGGATAAGAGAAGATAAGACTCTAATATTCGATACAGGTGCAATTGCTTGTTGGAAGACTTAAATACTATATGGGAGGAATTTGAAAAGGAAAGAAGGAAAGTGGAAAATGGAGGGAGTCTGTCTGTACTCTCTGTGCAGACAGAATCCACGAGAAATTCCCACACATGTGTGGGTGTGAAGCCTTGGGCCAGTTTTAAGCTATTGTTGATACAATGTGCTGCCCACATTCCCCATCTGCTGTTACCCCAAGCCCTTGGAAACCTGTTGCATACACACCAGCCTCCTGCCAAGGATTGGGATGATGGCAGTATAGGATGAGATGATGATCAGACCAGAGTCACCCAGGCAGCTAAGAGGTGGGGTTAAAATGGGTAAGTCCACAGAAGCTGAATCTGGACCAAGAGATGTCCCCAGATACTTCCCCCTTCCAGAAGCCCCAAGGATTGAAATGGAGTAAGTAGTACAGGAGAGGAGTATATTGGGACCACTACCCACTAATACTGAGGACACAGGCCCCTTAGAGCAACAGATGTTGGAATATAGATGTAAAGAAATTTAACAATGCCAACATTTTCCAGTAGTCAAAATGCAGAAATATCCCAAATGCCCATTGACTGATGAATAGACAACCAAATTGTGGATAGTTAGCCCTCCACAGTATGTGAATTATACATCCACTGACTCAATCAAACACCTCCATGGATTCAATCAACTGGGGATCCAAACAACTGGAAAAAATATTAATTGGAAAAACCATAAATTGCTTGTGCACCGAACCTGAGCAGACTTTTTTCCTCATTACTCCCTAACAATAGTGTAACACTTATTTTATAACGTTTACGTTATAGTGTGGATTATAAAGAATAGAGAGATGATTTAAAGGACGTGAGAAGATATGCATAGATCACATGCAGATACTTTGCCATTTTATATAAAGTATTCAAACATGTGAGATGCCCCAGGGATTTTGAAGTATGACTCTGTATCTACCCAATGGAATATTATTCAGTCATAAAAGGAAAGGAAGTACATATTACAAATGTCAATAGACCTCAAAACCATTATGCTAACTGAAAAAAAAAAACAACTAGATAGAAAAAGACACATACTATGTAATCTCATTTGTATTAAATATCCTGAACAGCTAAATCTAAGGGTCATTGCCAGGGGCTCAGGGTCGTGTAGAATGTGGCATGACAGCTTGGGTACCAGGTTATTCTGTAGTGGTGAAATTTTTTTGGAACTAGAGTCAGATGATGATTTCACAACACTGTAAATGTGCTAAATGCCACTGACTTGTTCATTTTCAAGTTATTAATTTTACATTATGTGAATTTTAACTTGTTTTAAAAATAAATGCCCTGAGCCCAGGCAGGAGCCTGCTACCCACAGTTCCACCCCAGGGTGGGAAGACTTGCTCCCACATGGTGACTCTGGCAAATAGATCTTAAAACGCCACAAGCATCCCTTTGCTTCACAGAGAGTGTTACTTTGGCCTAGCCAGAAGGGTTGCCTCAATGCCAGGACACAGCTACAATCACAGGCACACTCACGGCAACAGTGCAGCTTCCGACCTCATGCATGCTAAGGAGGGAGCAGAGAGCTGCAGCCCCATTGTGCTGTCGCCGGCAGCCTGATGCACAGTGTAAGGGAGCTCCCAGAAAGTCTCCCATCCTCCCAGCTATTTGCAATCCTAATCCCTGAATAGAGCCTGAGACCACTTGGCAAACTCAGAAACAGGGCAAGATGTGTAAACACAGGTACAAGTGCATGCATTCAGCATCAATGCTCCCTGGCCAGCAGCAGGTTAGTGAAGAGGACTCAGCAGTTCCATCCTTGGGACAAGTTCCCTCACAAAGGTGAGCTTTACCGTTCCAAACAGCTCCTGAATTAACCACCTCCGCCTAGCAGGAGCAGGGTCTGATTCACCAAAGTGTCACCAGAGCTTGACAATGTGAGCAGAGAGGAAGTCTTCAGCAAATGCTTCTGGGAAAAGAAAAGGTGGGAAGAGACAAAGGAAGGGGCAGATGGAGGGTGTTCCTCTATAAGTACAGTGGTTTCTATTCCTACTTCACATTAGAAGCATCTGAGATCTAGCTTGCTATCACCTCCACGAATTCTAACTTGATAGGCCAGGGATGGGTGGGCCCAGGACATAGGCATTATTATAAATTGTCCAAGTGCTTATAATATGCAACAGAGAAGAGATCCATTCACCCAGTGTGAGTGGCTTTCCAGCTGGCTACACCCTGTAGGATCACCTTGGCAGCAATTTAAATAATCCTGATGCTCCAGCCCCACCCTGACCAATAGCATCAGAATCTCTAGGGTTGCAGTCCTGGCTCTGAGGTGTTTGGAAGCCCCGAGGTTGTTCCCTGCTGCAGAGAGGGTGGCATGATCATTGTGAGTAGACACTGACAGGGTGGCCCCTCTGACACTCACCGTGAACAATCTAATGCTGAGTAGATGGATGCTGCTTGTCCTGGGGCTGCAAACCCAATCCATGCATGGGATTCTGCCCAAGCAAGACTAACTTATGCCAGGCTGAATCACATATTCCATACCCCTGGAATTAGCATGAAAGGAGCTTGTTTTGATGGGATAAACATTTGCTTCCTTTCCTGAATTTTGGTGATTTC